CAAGGCAGCTTCTTGATCATTATGTTTTCGCATTACGCCACGATAAATTACCTCTATGTCCGTATCACTATACACGACGCATCTCCATGCCGTTTCCGAAGATCCATCTACCAATCCATTGGTTTTCTAATCCGTACACACACACACACACACATCCACAGTGTGTGCTGTCCGTTGTCCGAGCCCTCGGACGGTCGCCAAAAATGTGTGTATCTCGATCGCTCGCTGGCTTGTTGATGCACAGGTGCAAATAGAAGTGTGCATGTGTGTGTGTGTTCGCACGCCGGTCACTCGCATTCGCACAGACACACATTCATTGATGCGCACTCCTATGTGCTTGTAACACCACACAAGGGCACAGCAACAAACACACACGAACACATTCAGAGCTGCTGCCTCACATAACGTGGTAGCAGCATGCTGTGCTGGACATTCCGTGCGAGTCATTTACACTGAATATCTGGGTATGATTATCTTTCATGTGAACACCTCGCAAAAGGAAGTTTACTGGACTTACTAATCCGGTGTGTGCTCAACATTCATTCACTTTTGTGTCGGCCGTGGCACGAGAATACCCATCCATACACGACGACGTCTTGGCCGGAACCAGGCAATCCCGTTTGACAGCCACTCTCAAGAATACTGTCCACGTTGCAGCACAATTCTACTGATTTCACCCACCCAATAGAGTCTATCCGGCCGACAAGTTGTCCCCGGGGTGTGAATGCTTATTGCCTACATACGTGTGTGCGTGTATGCGTGTGGGTGGGTGTATGTAAGCCAGTGCGCTTATGCTTGTGTGGGCGTATGCATAGTCGCGTGAGAGAGTAAGCGAGAGAGGAAGAGTGAGCAGATCGGCGGTTCACGGAGTGAACAAGCAATTGAAGGTGTGAAAAAGTGAGTGATTAAGCTTGTGTAATAAAGAGATAGAGACGATTATGGACAGTAGCCGGCGTTTGTTCTTCAGGTGGGCTCATATACTTTCCAGTCTATTGTGTATTATCCTATCCCATTGTTGAACCACGCCATTCCCAGCTCGGGCGGGTCAACCTCCGCAAAACTATTTGCTCGCCCATGACAACACTATTCCCATTGAGAACGATGATGCTAAAGTGTGATTTGTGTCTGTCCTGTACCACATTAAAGTGTAGAGTGAACGGAAGCTAAAAACCACACGGAACGCTGTACTGTTCCCCAGCTGGATCTTTCTTTCTGCGTGTGTCCGCGAGAGAGAGAGAGAGAAAGATTTCGGTACCTCATTCTCATGAGCAGCCCACATAAACCCATTCAATACGGCCGATCTGATTCGTCGTTGATGAACTATGATTCTACTCTGTGAACCATATTCACGGGTTCGGTGTCGGTCGTACACAAGTCTGTTCGGTAATGCGACCCCGTAACTGAACACCCGATTGCTGCTAATGTCAATCCCGTTGAATGAAGTCAACACGAACCAGCCCTGTGCAACTGTCAATCACACGAACAATTTCCAATGTGTCAGTACTACTTCTACTACTACTACTATTACTACAACTATCGTGTCACGTGATCAGCCCTTCCGATCGCGATCCACAATATTCTCGTTTGATACACCGCAGTCCAGCCGCGTGCGTTCACAACCGTGTTTATCTATTCTAATCTGTGCAATCACGTGGTCTATCTTGATGCAAAGCATGCCGGTTGGAGAAAGTCGTATGCATCCACAGTGGAAAGCATTCAGTCCACTGAGTTTGTCCACACTACAACAGTTGGGAGAGGATCGACTAAAACGAGGAAGTGTTATTCCCAGAATTTTTGATGCAATCGAGTTTGCCGTGGTTCAAGAACAACCTGATGCACTTATGTAAGTCTCGTGGACCATAACGAGAGTTGTATTGTTTACGATCAGACTCAACAGTTCCATGAATTGCCTTACCTCTCCTCCCTTCTCTGNCACTCCAATGCGTCATTCCCAAAACAGACCTCTCCCTGACTAACCGATCTAAACTGATGACAATGTTTGCTTTGTTCTTTGTAAAAGTACAAAAAAACACTTATCAACTCAAAGGAATATGAGTGCTCGAAACCAAGACAGGTTTATCTATTCCGTCAAATGTCTGATTGTAGACGATCGCTCTGGCGTAATGTTCACGAATGTGACCAGAGGCATGCATCACATATTCTCTCTGGCTAAGTTTACTCGTTCCAATTATTTTCCNTTTTCCACATTTATTTTCATAGATGAACAAAGGACACCAAAAACCGAGAGAGAGGGGAATCTGTGAGTTGTTCGGGCCAAGAATGATTGCAAGAGTCTTGCCAAATAACAACGAACAATAAAAATACAGGCTTCAAAGTTCAGGCGAGAAACATCAAACATACTGATTACTGTATTGGAAGGACTTAGTGTTTGTCCGTGGATACAATGCGTTTCTCGTAGCAACCGATCAATAAAGTCACGTGCTGTGCGGGAATGAACAACGTATAGATAATGGCGTAAAACATGACTGATTGTTTCTGATTAATTATAAGTATTATGTCCACTCATAATACACACACCATCTTAGTATGATTACACTCTGCTTAGTTTGCTTCTTCTGTTGCAAATCGATACAAAAGTTGCACGTATCCGTGTTTTTATTAGTGCATTTGTATACAGAAGAATAGGACTGATATCGCCAGAGACAAGAGGAAATTTTCCTTCTGAAAGTGAACAATGTGGATATTAGACATAGTGTATCCTTGGAAACGGGTCACCTTTTTTCCAGTTCAACAGAATACTGGAAATAATCACCTTGTGTTTGCTGTTTTCAATCAATTGCATTGTGAAATTTAAACCATGAGGGTGAATTGAAAATAGTGATCACAAAAGAACAAATTCGGATCGACCTGAACACCAGAAAATTTCGTTGCAACAGTTGAAACTTTATCAAAAGCTGTTGTGTCTCCTCCCTTATCTAACTACTATCTAAGAAGAAGAACGGTATGAAAATCTATGCACAATAGATTGCTTGAAATCGACCAGGGCTCTGTTGTGGATAAAACCAACCCCCCCCTCCCCCACCCCCAGATTCCGAATATATACCGTTTGAGGGTAGACGAAGCATTTTACATCCCACATGCCCTTCAATAGCCAATTACTTACCTCTTGCATCCTACATTATACTTGGCCCGGGATCTGACTTGGATTATGCGTTTATTTGGAACAATTCAATCGCATCACGCTGTTTGCCAGTTAATCACTGAAGCCGAAAAGGGCGTGGACACGAGTATGTATACATTTGCTATGTGATCAGTATTGATTGTGTGACTTTTTTGGTCAACATGAACCAGGCTGATTTTGTGCGTACACTCGAAAGTGATAGAAACAGCGAGTGAGAGAGAGAGAGAGAAAAAAATGTAAATCTCAAGTGCGTATGCATTCCCTGTTCTGATGACTTTAATTGTCTCAATCAAAGTCAAGTTTGGATGAAAACCATCCGGGCCAGTGGATTGTTGTTTGTTTATTATTGTTACGTTTACGATAATAATAGAATAAGAATAGTAATCTTAATAATAACAGTAATAATGATACCCAACTTGTACGCACGAAAACACACACTGGCATAGGCGTGAAAAACCGTGATAATATTGGATTGTACGTTCTTGACTTGATTTGTGCCCTGCGCTCGTGCTCGTGCGAGGGCTTAAAAACACGTGTGTGTGTGTGTGTGTCTGTGTGTGTGTGTGTGACGAGGCTTAAGCCTGAATGCCTCCTGCTCCACGTGAGCCACATTGATTTACTCGTCCGCAGAGATGACCATATCCACCAGTGCTTGGCTCACATCAACCTGCGAGGCGAAACTGGAATAGTATCCTTCGATTCAGACTCATTTTTGAACAGGTAATTGGTGTTCCCTTTTTGGTTAAGTCATTGGCCTACTTAGACAGATGCCAATTTGCCACGGTTTGTGTATCATCACACGTGTGACAAACTGGACAAGATTTGATTCCATTTCTATCTGTTAGCTCTGTACCAAGCAAATTTCGGGCACTGACTGATACAACTAACCGGTATGTTATGATGATAGAGAATATCTATTAGTTCACAGTCACCATAAGCTTAACTGTTATTTTGTAACAGATCAACCAGATCAGATTAGTTAGTTGGAATAGGAGAACAACCGACGCGTACCACATCTCGCACATGTTCGAGCCGTTTTGCCCTCCGCTCCCCACCCCGCCCCATGGTTTCTTATTCTCTTTGCATTTTTTAGGTTTCACGAAACAAAACAATTTGGCAAATGCAAACTCAAAAAGACACAGTTATATAGGAAAATATTGTAACAAGCGCGATCCAGCACTGCACTTTTCCTCAACTACCGCCCAAGTTTCAGGCTGAAATCATCTCTGGACCTAGTAAACCGATTATTCTAGATGGTCGGTTTTGGGAAACGTTTCAAAGTTCTTTTTCTAAACGTGATCTCAAATGTTCAAAGATACTGCCTCATCCGGAATGACAAATTTTGATAGGACCACCATCGGATAATCGGTAGTAAATGTCATTTTACGGCAAGTTTAAGTCTAGAAAGTACGTCACAGGCAGTCGAACAAGGAAGATGAACGCGGATTTTTCTGCTGAACAACGATCAGTTTATTGTCGGTAAACAACCGATTCGGATCAAGCCAAAAACAACCAGAACCGTCATCGCACAGTGTTTCTCATAAGTGTACAAATCCAAAAACGGACGAATAATGTCCCACGGAACAAAAAAGAAGTCGGATGTGTAGCTAGGAAGGCTTTCCTATCATTGCATTTCAATGGATAAGTCCCAATTTTTGGTACAGCAAGTTTTGCGATCGTATCGAGCATATCTGTGAGGAACTTTACCTTGACATTAGGAAGGAGTTTGAGATAGATCACACAATTCTTGTGGCCACTTAGAGTATAACTTACTTCATTCGTGAGTGACCCAGCTATAGCCAATATTTATATAATCATTGGCTCCTATGAGCTGCGCAATCCGCGGAGGTTTTGCAAATGAATTATTGTACCTGCAGCCATGAATTATGATCGATAACCTGGCTCTGCAAGCTTGTTGAACTGGTTGTCTAGCTAAGCTGAATGATTACTTATGAAAAGTGGCTTCGCAGTGGTCATTTGCCAGAAGAATATTGTGTAGGATACTATTTACTTCCGTGTAAATGAAAGGATGCAATATGTGCAAAGCGTATTGGTCGCCAAGCAGTATCGATTAAAATCCAATTTACTCGACCTTGATGTGATTCAGTTGAAACCAGAGACTCAGCCATCGAAAAAAATGCGTCAAGATTTGCTTGATCCATTTAAACGCGGAAAAAGCATTCCAATATGAAGAGAAAATTCGAACTGTGGCAAACAGTTTACACTGTGGGTTCTGCCTACCTGAAATACCGAACCGATTGTTATCCACCCCTTTCTTTGGATTCTTTGGTGTGTCAAGAACTAAATCCAATTACATAATTTGTGACTGATTTGCAGGCACGGAATGCAATCCACTGTCAATGTCGATAGGACGGAATATTTGAAAGAGTAAGGTGAGAGAGAGTGAGGATAGGAATGTTTGACCAATAACATTAAACACCACAATCAGTTGCTATAATGCCAAATTTAATACAAGCAACCCACAGGGGCATTTGTAAATCCAATTCACATCACACAAAATTGTCCTTTTCTACCTCAAGTTGTACGCTTTGGTCAATTTACGACGGACAGTCAATAGACTGGAAACTACTCTGTCTAGAACCACAAATCTGTCCAAAATAATGCTATTCGAAGTATATCCAGTCACATTCCCAGTTGTTTTACTGCAAATATGATTATTAACTAAAAAATAAGGATTGCCGCAGAAGATTTTTCATTACTTTATGAAACTAGTGGTTATAAAACTGCTCACCAAAAGAGGGTAGTTTTGGTAATCTTCAAGGTGTTAACGTCAGTAAAATAGCCAGCTGAAGGTTCTAATCATGCCCCACCGCTCGTTCAACTCAACTTATGAATTCCACTATTCTATTTTCTTGTATAGTCGTGGATACCTTAATCAAAAAGGACTGTACTTTCGCGTACTCAGTGAATAATGAGGGACTAATAAACGTTTATGGCTGCAATAGTAATTGGATTGCTGGGTCTTGGAACTTCTCAGTTCCCTGTTTGTAAATATATCAAAATGAAAATGATTGAATACGGACTTAAAAATCACCAATATACGATAGAATGAGCGACCGGTTGAAGTTGTTGTGCACATAAAATATAGAGAACCGAACAGTTGTTGTTAATTAAACGTTTTCCGTATCACACTACTACTACTACTACTACTACTACTACTACTACTACTACTACTACTACTACTACTACTGGAGTCTGAATAGCCAATTGCAGAAAATGTGACGAGCACATGCAACCAGATAAAGCGCCGCAAAGTTCACGGACATGTTTTAGCGCCCGGAAATTTCCCAGGAGCGTTATCCACAGCGAAGATGGATCTCACATTGTAATCAAACTTTCGCTCATCATCCCTATAGTTCTGTTAAATGCTGCGGGTGTCTTGTACAGCGAGCGCTTGGTCCATGATCAGAAACATGATGGATCGGCCGCCAATGGTGGAAAATTGACCGGCACACACAAATGACCGGGTCGATAAATCCAGGCAGTTTTCCTCTGTTTAACCCTCCGCGTGGAATGGGAGTAATAAAACTGACACTCGAAGTTATATATGTGGTTGTTTTCGGACCGGGAGTCTGAGATTACGAAAACATTGTAGAACCGTGCAGAACTCGTAAGGTTGCATGCACATTGGTGCGCGATCCAGGGTATGCGGGTTAATATAGATGTATTTTCGAGCACAACACGAAAACCACTACACTACACACAAACCGTCTCGTCTGGAATCGCGCAATCACATTCTATTATGCAAAGGGGAGTAGTAACACTCACAAAAATGCCCCCGAAATGTGTGGCACGAAAATTGGCAACCATGAAGCAACTGTTCAGATTCGGGGTATCAAAGGAGGAGCACCCAGGGAAAACATTCAGCCTGGAGTACAGTTATTTTTAATTGTTTATTATAATGTTTGTTCATATTGTCCGAAAAAATCATTGGCATTTTATCGATCGCATTATGATTTAGTGAACAGGCAAATTCTCATTGTTAATCTGCCTGATCTTCGTGGTAGAAGATATTATAAACAGGCCCAATTTTACCAATTGTGTTTATCTAATAAATGTCATTCAACGGTACAGATAGAGCTCATCAAATGAATGATTTGTTGCTAATGAGCAGGAAAAATGTACATTTACGTAAAACCGAAGTTTATTTTATGTGACTAGCGTAAATGTTTGATATATTGCCCAGTCTTAAAAGCTTTTAAATAATTACGCCTGGAGAAATGGTAATCAATCGTAAATAAGTGATCTGAAGACTGAATTACCGTGAAGATCTTCAAACGCCTTCTTTACAAGTGATCGGTGTCTACTAAACTCGCGGAACGCCATAAATCGATGTTTCGATTGATTTTGAGATTAAAATTCCATACCAACGGAGTGGTTTACAGTGCAATATTTACACCCTTTGAAATGACCACCTTATTACATGGTATCGACATCACAATTTGTAACAAATTAGGTAAAAGAAAGACTTCGATTTGATTGCCCCAGTGAATCTTTGTATCCTCCCCCCCCCCTCCGCGGAGGAGCATGATAGAAAACGTTTTCTTTCTCAATTGAGCTCCTTAGCCAATCAACTCAGCATCCAACAACAAGACTGCTCACACACCTCCCCACTCAACCCCAAAATCTCATTTCTAACTCCTTCTGATGTTGAGGACATTTCCATCCTGAAATAATTATTCCTATAGGACGAGATTGTGAATGCGCCCAAATCTTGTTTTACCGGTCAGTTGTGTATACGTACAGTTTGTCTGAAACAACCGAATCAATTAACACACAACTTGACCTTCACTGCAAGTACAGATCTATCTAGAAGTGGGTCAAAATATAAAGTTCTTGCCAAACTTATTACTACTGCATCTTTGGCTTTTGTTTGTTTAATCCACGACGTTTTCTGTGTACGTAAAACTCATCTATAGACCATCCCATCAGTAGTTTCACATCCCTGCTGTCTTTGGACGACAATAAATGAATCGGAAATGGATGTATTCTCCCCATAAACTCTGAATTGGAGTGCGGCGGGAGAGCGCCGAAAACCATGTTGTAATTCTTCAACTATTTTTACTTTGATACTTTCTGATAAAAAGACTGCGCTCATCCGTCTCTGACAACGGGACAACATACATACACACACACTGCGTCCTGAAGTGAGCTCCTAATTCGGGTCAAATACTTGGCCATCCGTATAAAATCGCTTCACTTTCCAGGTAATGTCTCGATTTTTGTTTGGGTGTCCAAATAATGACAAAAAAACACTTCCGTTGTGCTCGACTTGATCCAAGTAACGAATTGCTCCTGATGAGTAGTGAGGTTACATTGCAACTCAAATTCTGACCCCAGGCTGGTCAAATTCGGACGTTATATTTTACTTTAAACTTGTTTTCATGAACTGCATGCGGTTCTATTCCGAGGGAACCAATCTACTTCACAGATACGTAATTCGTAAGTGAATGGTCATCACGGATGTTTGCGGTTCAACTCAGCATTCTCCTCATTGGCAGGGCGAAACAGAAAAACAACACAGGTACATATATAGCATACGGGATTAATCAATTACGGTGAACGAACGTGTACAAGCATACGAAGATTATTAAATTTAGAAGTAGAAGGTCAATTCCACAGCAAGTGGATTGGTTGTATCACAAACTTCTGTGCGCACGATGTGGGGTTATGTAATCGAATAAGCAGTGCTTCACTAATTGCCAAACGTTTAGCATTGCGATTACGTAATAGCGGTTTGAAAGACGAATTTGGGTCAACCGTGTGTCTTGCTACCATCAGATATTTCGCAACAGATGACCCTGGATTTCTTGTAACCCCTTGACTATCAAGTGTCGGTTGCGTCATCGATTTCACCAGCCACCTTGGAGTATTTAGAGTATCCAATTTGGATTAACCCATTCGATTGTTCAGAGACACCAGGCACTCCTAATGGTCTTGGGTGTTTCATTCCTTGGGAGATGGTTGATTCCCCACGAGACAATGCATTCAAATGTGATGGAAATGTTTGTGATAACCAACAAAGGGCAGCACTGGACAGCTGTTTCGTCCCGTTTGGGATTCGTCAGCGTGCTGATCGCGGTTCGAGTCCTGACAGGAACACAAAAAGTACACACTGCTGACGAGTCCTAAACGGGATGAAACACCTGTCCACTTTGGAATATGTTCGGTCATCTGTTGTGAGAGCGGACGGTTTGTTCTACCTATGTATGCGTCACCGCAACTGCAGATGAACTGGTATACAGTGTGTGAGACTGAACTGGCTTGCCAGTCAAGTTTACGTTTGTCCAAATCAATTCCACGAGTGGAGGCAATGAGTCTGAGTTGAGCAGTTGTTTGTTTTAAGGTAGCGACTGAGAAGATGAAACGAAATGTTAACATCGCGCAACATTTGTCATCTGTCTGTATTGATGAAGTGCTTCGAAACCGAAAAAGTTAAAATTTATTCTGTACTCTGTTAGTCGGAAACCAAGTTCGTCTCACACTTCGGAAAACTATTCATTTCTGCACCCATAAAAGCATTCCATTACTGACTACTCATCTTGGTGAATGACGATCGGGTAAAGCAATGAAGCACTTGTGTGACGTCCTAGAGCCTTGTGACGGAAGCGGTATGGTCTGACCTTGTCCGAACAAAAGTACACCAGCATACGTAAATCGTTCGATAAGGTCATCAGATGAAGTGCTAGGGTAGGTGTTACGCAGAGGATAAACAAATCAAAGCGCATAACACCGTTTCCAAGCGTGAATCTCGTATTCTATTGATTCATCAACCATCATCAACGATAGCATACCGGACTGTCCAAGTTTGGTCAAATCAGTTTCAGTGACTACGTTTGCAAAGAACGATAGATCACATTTGTTCATCATAAACAGCTGATCCAATACGAGGTGACGTGGAACATAAAATTAGATTGGATCAATAGAGAATTTTGAAGCACAAACCGGACCCCGTCAAAATGTAACTTGCTCGGACACAACGAGGGGTGAACTTCGGGAGTTAGAGAGAGAGAGTACTCATGCCAGCTCTGAANAGGTTACATTAGAAAAATCCAATTGTAACAGAGGACTGCAAATGGCACTCTAAAAAATGTGTACTATTTCTGGGTGTCTGTTCTCTCTCGGTCTCTCTCTCTGACGCAGGCACTCACTACATTGCGAAGAGAACTGGCACCAACAATCGTATTATTAATAATATATATTATATTACTACTGAACCATGCGAATAGATGCTTGTAGACATAGCCTCGTTTCGATTGCGAGCAAGAAGACGTCATGTTATCTAACAGAAAGTAGGATGAATAACGGAACAGTACATAAACAACGGGGACAAATATTTCGTGTTCAACTCGGTGAATGCAAAATCGTGTTTACTGTGTAATAGGCACAGTTTAGTGAAACATTCACTGGGTTACTGACAAGGTAACTAGAACTATAGGCATCAAATTAAAACCTTGTTTTCATGCAATTGAAGAGCTCCAATACGAAGGTGATTCCCATGTTCCCACCTTTACTGGAATTTTCTTTTCACGAAACTTGTGCATGTGTGTTTTATTGGCTAACATTAGACTCCTGTGTATTTTATATTTCTATTGCTTGCAGACGTTTTTTTATTTAAATAAATGGTCCACTTAATTAGGGTGCGGATGAAAGATAGATAGCTGCATATCACCATTTTTTACCCAGGCTAAAGTTCTCTTATTGCGCGAACACGGACGTGCGTGATCCCTGGTTGTCTTGGTGTAACACAGTTCCTGTACAATTTGAAAATTGATTTTTTGTTATTTTGTAATCGCGTAATTTAATTTAGTGACTCTTTGATAATGTTTGTTTGAAGGGGAAGAAACAACAAATTTATGGTGCAGTTCTTTTTGAATTGATACCGGGACTGTCTGTCAATGGGAATGGTTACTCACATTCTGATTGGAGTCATGTAAATATCATCTCCCCCCCACACACACACACACCAACTGGTGTTTTTTTCAAATACGAAGAAGGGAGCGTGGGTATATTGTCCTGATCAATATGTGTGAAAACCCAATGGAAAGGGGATCCGTAATTTTAGGCGATCATGGAATTTCTCTGATGGATACGGTTCCTTCTCTGAGTAATCTCTTGTTCAAAGAAGAGTTGAGTTAATTCAACATCTGCATTGAAATTTTATTTTATTGAACGTTACACAACACCAGAACGTTCCCGGACTGTTATACGCCATTCGATGAGGCACAAACACTGTAAGTTACGCATATATACAGACATGCTCATACTGCGGATCCATAACGCGTTTGCAATATTCCCTAATAAATCAATCAGTTAGACTGAATCAAATGTGACTCACGGGGCTTTGAACATTTCCCATGGGTCATCTCTTGCGTAAAGGAAGTGATTGTGCCAGTTTGCACTGTTCATTTTGTGTTACCAATATGAACTCGTTACCCACTGATGACGACTTATCTAACAGTC